CTCCTGTTCCGCGCGGAACAGGAGTTTCTGTTTCCTGTACCCGGCCGGACTGACAGGAAGTGCACACTCAGTGTGCACCTTCCTATCAGTCCAGCCAGCACCGCGGAGAGCGGAGCAGCTCGGCTACGCTACAGGGGAGGGCAAGGGAGGAGCAACTGCAGCCGCCTGAGGATCTTCACAGAGCGCTCAGGCGGCTGCAGCATTTAAAGGGCCGGCCATGCAGCGGCCTGTCCTAACCGAATTTAGGGCGGCCTGGGGGGCAACCCTTTAAAATGTTTCTATCATATCCCCCCTGTCTCGTCTTTCATAGCTTGGAGGAAAGACGAGACGGGGAGGATATGATAGAATCATTTAAATACATAAAAGGAATCAACACAGTAAAGGAGGAGACTATATTTAAAAGAGGAAAAACTACCACAACAAGAGGACATAGTCTTAAATTAGTGGTGCAAAGGTTTAAAAATAATATCCGGAAGTATTAGTTTACTGAGAGGGTAGTGGATGCATGGAATAGCCTTCCAGCTGAAGTGGTAGAGGTTAACACAGTAAAGGTGTTTAAGCATGCGTGGGATATGCATAAGGCTATCCTAACTATAAGATAAGGCCAGGGACTAATGAAAGTATTTTTAAAAATTGGGCAGTCTAGATGGGCCGAATGAGACAGAGACACTGTTGCTCCATATTATAATGACTGAGAATTGTTGACATGTTCAAGAGGGTATGCTATTCTATTTAAAATGATATTTCAAGCATATAGTTTAATCTTATAAACTCTGCTATGAATTATTGTAATGGATTTTATATGTCTATATTTATATTTTTATTTAATGAAATATCTAAAAAGACAAAAAACTTTGCTTCCAAGACAATCCTTTTTTTATAATGTATTCTCAATTATTTTTTATATATATTTTAAATAGAGGATTTCTTGCTAACTATATAATATTATGGCTAAAGATATCTGTATGGTTATCCCTGCTAAGTTCTATGCTTTAAGACGTTATAGTGGTAAATAAGGGAACCAGCTGCGGTTACAATAGGAAGAAGGAAAATAAGAGAAACAAAGGTTTAGGCAATATGTCCTATATAGATGAACAGAATGTAGGTAGATAATAAGAGAACCTATAGATTATTATTATTATCACCATTTATATAGTGCCAACAGATTCCGTAGCGCTTTACAATATCATTAGCGGGGGGATTTAACTATAAATAGGACAATTACAAGAAAACTTACAGAAACGATAGTTTGAAGAGGGCTCTGCTCAAATGAGCTTACAGTCTATAGGAATGAAAGTATAGATTGAATATAGAGGGACAAGTATAAAAGAATAGAACAGCCTATTAGAGGGAACCCCCCCCCCCCGACCCCCCTACACCACCTTAAATACAGACAGCTACAAAGTTATGTGCGCACCCTCCGAGAGGCACGGCACGGACGCGCGACCCCACCACATTTGAAAAAGTCAGTAACCATACAAATATTGAACGTAGCGAAACAAGTGCTCCCACAAGTCTCGAAGCAAACGGTGACTCCCCCACTGACCACTTGGTTCTCCCAAATGGAAGAACTAAGGGCAATAGAGGAACTCAACATGAGCGCAACTAACTCCTCAGATAAATACTTGGAAATATGGGCACACTGGATACTGACGACTACCAGGGCAGACTTTGAAAAAATAGGCTCAAATATGAAGTACAAACAGGGAGCAGCAGGACCGCACTGGCTGCTACAACAGAAGAAGACACAGACTGAGACAACCCCCAACAGTAACCCTCCCCTCACGAACAGAGTACCCCCCCGACCCCTCACACATCAACACAACCAACGAGAGCGAACAACCAGAACAAGTAAAACGCCACCTACAGGGGCTGCCTGCAACCGCAACAAACTTACACGGAGCCACACAACCGCGCAGAGATACGACTCGCAGGAGGTGGCTCCATCCACAGAGGGCTGACACTTAGCTTACACCTAGACCACAGGTAGAACGTACACACCTCCATACCAAACAACACATCGTCCAGGAGCGAACGGCAGTTCAGACACAGAAAACACAACACGACCCCACGACACACCGGCACTGCCAAACACACACATCTAACGACCCGAGAGTGGACGCACTCCACTTAGCTATCGACAAGGGTAATAACCCCTCAGACGTAACGCATGGGGGACCCACAGACCACCACACCACACGTTTAAGGCTATAGCCACTAATCTAACAATGGGCCTGCGTGCTGCATGAAAGTTACTAAAAGCGAGATCTGCGTATCTCAAATACTATAAATACTGTACCATACTGAAACCTGCGTGTTTCAAGTGCTCCTAGACATGGCACACCCAAACGCTTACTATGAAACTTCACATACTACATGAGGCCTGCGAGCCTCAACGGTATTCACTTTCTGTTGATCTTTCACCTGAAAATAAATAAATTACTATTTACAAAAAAAAAACAGAATGGAACAACAAAGGTTTCAGGAAAATAGGAAAAGAAGACTTTAATCAGGTCCCCATTGGAAGGAGTACTGATAAAATATGGAAATAACACCTTGCAATAATAGAGTCAAAGTCCAGATTGATGTTATGCAGGTTTGTGTAAATCTGATTGGCAGGATAAAGCAGAGTAGAAGTGTAGGTTGGGCTGGTTTGGAGCAGGTCGGTAGAAAGCTGGTTGGCAAGATAAAGCAGAGTAGAAGTGTAGGTTAGGCTGGTTTGGAGCAGGTCAGTATAAAGCTGGTTGGCAGGATAAAGCAGAGTAGAAGTGTAGGTTAGGCTGGTTTGGAGCAGGTCGGTATAAAGCTGGTTAGCAGGATAGAAGCGTAGGTCCACAGGAACGTTTACAGGAGCCAGGAACTAAAGTCTTTCAGGATGAGCATCAACTTCATTGTAAAGGCAATGTGATAAGTTGGGTGTAGCCTTTTGTAGCTTCTTGATTAGTCCAGGCAGGTGAGGATGACAAAGGTGAAATCCAATGTTAGTGGTTAGAGAGGCCACTAGTGGTGCAGAGCTGGAACTAGTTATTAAAGAAACAAGAATAAACGAACATAAACTTAGTTGTCAGGATAGGATCCTGAAACACACATTGTACCCCTACCTCTCACACATTGAACCCCACATGCACACACTGCATCCCTCACACACAAATTATACTCCTCCCTCGCAAACATTGAACCCCTTGTTGTGGAAATGAGATATTGATATATTTTCTAGTTAGTAAAATGTCTATTTACTCATCTCACTAAAATCAGTATATAAGCTATACACACATATCTAGACAAAATGGCTGCTAGAAGCTTCTAACCCCTCCCTTCCTATAACACCAACTAACTACCTTGTGCAACAAGATGGAGCTGGAATCCGTGGGAGACCCTCATGGTTCCAGTGACATCACCTTTAGTAGGCAGAGCATTAAGAAGACCACTTAACACTTAACCAATTGTTGATGTATTATTTCATGTTATCTCTGACAATGCTTATGATGTAATTTTGCTTTAAAAGGGACCTGCCGGCCCCTCTGAATAAACATTCCTCAAGTTATTCAACAACCTGGAACCTGTGTCTGGTGTGAATTACTTCAGGGAGTGTGCATGCATTGTTTCTTTAATTTGGCCAGGGGCAGATACACAAAGAAATAATCAATTTATTGATTGATTTTTCCATTTCACCCCTCATGAACACACTGCACCCCTCACACACACATTGTACCCCTTTCACACACATACATTGTACCCCTCACACACTGCGCTCCTCACAAACACACACATTTTACCCCACACACATATACGCATTGTACCCCTCACTCACACACACATTGTACCCCTCAATCACACACACATTGTACCCCTCAATCACACACATTGAGCCCTGTGGCAAACAGAACCTCGCCATGGGCTTTTGGACTGGCCTGCTTGCCAGCCTCATGCCAAAAGACAATGGGCCAGGTCAGCGACGGTAAAGATCCATATTTTATTCCCCCTGGTTCCCCTGGTTTGGCACTTTCCATAGAACAGAATGTTAGCTCACTGGCGGCCGTTCGCATGGATCAAAACCGCGAATAGACTTCAGGGGGACTTAGCCGCGTATGGCCTGGAACTTTTTTCGGCATGAAAACTTCGTAGTTCCTGGTCGGTCCCACAGCGGCACTTAGTTTTGGGCATGGACCATGCGTGCGGTCTGCCAAAACTATGACTTCCAGGAAATTCCAGAACCCCTGAACCAATCTGGGTGATTTTTGGATATGTTGTTCACCCAGATTGGGGCTATCAGGGGATGTAACTTTTTGGGGGGTTTGTATGTTTTAAAGGTACTTTTTGTTTTTTTTTGTGTCTGGAGATAATTGAGTTAATACAGTACTTGACCCAATTATCTCCCGGGTACAGAGGAGGGATTGACCTAGTTTGTATGGGAGTGTCCTGGATCTGAGAGCCAATGTTATTGTGTATTTGTTTCTACTGTGGTTTACTCTCAGGTCCAGGTAGGGGGGTGCCCCTTGCATTGGGACAGTCTTAAAAGGCCAAGTGTGGTCCCATTAAAGTCAGTTCACTTCACCCTCAACAAGCAGCCTCGTCTCGTGATTGTAGGGAACAGCTATACCAGCTATACCTGCTTTGGATTGCTATACTGGCTATAATCACTAGCTCTTGTAAGAGCTACACAGCTATACCTGCTAGACTCTATGGAGTAGGAGAGATGCACCCACTGGAAGCTGGATCCTGGGCTTGGGTCCAGGGTGGGTGGAGGACAGCGAGACCCGAGCCATGCTACAGTGGCTAAGGAGCTACGGTGCTTAGGGTGTCTGGTGTGGTGTTTATAGTACTCCAGCTACTAGGAAGCAGCGATTGGTAGAGGCACCCAGTTGTGGTGCCAGGTGGTCCGTCACAAGCCCCTCACACATACATTGCACCCCTCATACACACACCATCTCTCACACACATTGAACCCCTCACACACACACACTGCGTCCCTATACACTAGATCGCCTATAGACACTACATCCTTACACTCTACCACTTACACACACTACATTCCAGACACAAACCATACATCCTTTATACACACACATGTATTCTCTACACAAACACACACTAGATCACCTATACACATTCTGGATTCTCTACACACGTAGATCCCTACACACTACTAGATCCTCTATATCACAATAGACCCCCCAAGGACACACATTGCACCATCTACACTTACACATTACATTTCTGACAAACACACTCTGGATCCCCAATGCACATGCTAGAACCCCTGTATGCAAACACACACACTACATTCCCTAAACAGACACTCTCTTCAGCCCCTACACACACTACACCATCTATAGGTACATATACCACAGCCCTATGCACTCACTCGCTACATGCCCTATAAACACAATGCGCCGTATACACACACTCTCACTCTCCTTAGCCCCTAGCCACACATGTTACACCACAAACACCACAAAATGTAAATTTACCTATTTACACAAAACACCACACCACATTCAGCTCACTCCACACACACTCAATCTCACAATCTCACCTAGTTTGTATGGGAGTGTCCTGGATCTGAGAGCCAATGTGATTGTGTATTTGTTTCTACTGTGGTTTACTCTCAGGTCCAGGTAGGGGGGTGCCCCTTGCATTGGGACAGTCTTAAAAGGCCAAGTTGGGTCCCATTAAAGTCAGTTCACTTCACCCTCAACACGCAGCCTCGTCTTGTGATTGTAGGGAACAGCTATACCTGCTTTGGATTGCTATACTGGCTATAATCACTAGCTCTTGTAAGAGCTACACAGCTATACCTGCTAGACTCTATGGAGTAGGAGAGATGCACCCACTGGAAGCTGGATCCTGGGCTTGGGTCCAGGGTGGGTGGAGGACAGCGAGACCCGAGTCAAGCTACAGTGGTTAAGGGGCTACGGTGCTTAGGGTGTCTGGTGTGGTGTTTATAGTACTCCAGCTACTAGGAAGCAGCGATTGGTAGAGGCACCCAGTTGGGGTGCCAGGTGGTCCGTCACAAGCCCCTCACACATACATTGCACCCCTCATACACACACCATCTCTCACACACATTGAACCCCTCACACACACACACTGCGTCCCTATACACTAGATCGCCTATAGACACTACATCCTTACACTCTACCACTTACACACACTACATTCCAGATACAAACCATACATCCTTTATACACACACATGTATTCTCTACACAAACACACACTAGATCACCTATACACATTCTGGATTCTCTACACAGGTAGATCCCTACACACTACTAGATCCTCTACATCACAATAGACCCCCCAAGGACACACACGGCACCATCTACACTTACACATTACATTTCTGACAAACATACTCTGGATCCCCAATACACATGCTAGAACCCCTGTATGCAAACACACACACTACATTCCCTAAACAGACACTCTCTTCAGCCCCTACACACACTACACCACCTATAGGTACATATACCACAGCCCTATGCACACACTCGCTATATGCCCTATAAACACTATGCGCCGTATACACACACTCTCATTCTCTATAGCCCCTAGCCACACATGTTACACCACAAACACCACAAAATGTAAATTTACCTATTTACACAAAACACCACACCACATTCAGCTCACTCCACACACACTCAATCTCACAAGCAACCTCCAAACACATGCACAATACACTTTCCTTGCCTTTTGTCCTCTGGTATCCTACTTTTGGAGATACCAGAGACAATACCAGAGACAAGTCACAAGTAAACACAAGTGTCATTAAATTTGCTTTGCAGAACATGCAGAACACCCAAGAGCTATACAGTAGGACTCTGCACATGGTCTGCCCTGGAAGAGCGTTGAGACAACATACTTCTGTGCTTGTGACACTAATGTCACTGATGATGACAAAACGCCCCTTTCTCACTGGGCCACTATTATAA